AAATGTAAACAGTGTAAGAGTTTATAAAATGTATAAAATAATTAATTTATAAAATTTATATATATGATAAAAGAATATATAATATGATAAAAATTTATAAACGTGGCAATGTTTTGTCTTGTTCCTCTGTGAGAATCACCCATTGTAAGAAGAACCATATTTGAAATTGTATAAGACAATGAAAGAGTTTGTATCAGAGAGAGTGAGGATTGGAGATGTGAAACAAGTGTTTGAGTCGCCATATTTATAGGCGAATTCGTATAGAGATGAGTTAATGAGGTGGTTAGGGGTTCTATGCATGCAGAACATGTATCACCAATGCGTCAAGTGGGTTGGCGCCTCCATGCACTTTATAGTGCATGCGCCATTCAAAGTGATGTGGGCCAGGCTTAGGGTGGCAGCATAGTTGCAGGTGTAGGTGGAAGGCGTAGTGTATGTGGCAGGCATGCATGCTATGTGACAGGCCTATAAGGGATGCACCATCCCAGTTGGCGCCTTAGGCCAATTATATGAGGATTCGCCATCCCAATTGGCGCCTTATTGGTAGATCAAATTTGTCTTGTTCGTCTCATTTTCACGTTGTTTATTCTCCTGCATGCACCTTATGTTATCACCACTCAAACAAATTCTCACATACTCAAACACTCAAACACGCAAACACAATATCCTCTACAATGCAATATGTTATCAGTGCACATTTCAATGGAGAGACATATAATTGTGATGTCTCTGGTTTTTTATTTAGAAACACTGATAACATCCAATTTTGTTTAAACAGAAAAGTCAATTTTTCGTATTTCAAAAAACGACTAGAGCTCAAACTTAAACGAGGTCCAGTGTCACACATCTTCTACTAAAATCCAGTTTTTTTTTGTGAGAACCAAATAATATTTTATAAGGTTGAGGTTCAAGATGACGAGGACCTTCAAAATATATTTTTTAGTCATGAGTATTTTGGGTACGACTCGATTGAGTTGTACATTGTGTTGTAGGAGCCTCTGTTGTCACAACCAACTCAATCACAAGTGGTTTATTCTCTCGAAGACGAACAAGAAGTAGATGTCGTTGACAAAGAAGAGGAAGATGAAGAGTTAGAGTTTGACAGCATGGTCAACGATGATTCTGAAGACGATGCGCTACCTGAAATACCTCCAAAGGAAATCTACACACCACATTCACACATGACAAACTTCAACATGGGCGGATATGAACCTTTATCAGATGTTTTTTTTAACCCGTATATGCAGTCAGATGAAAATTTAAAAGATAAAGACAAATTTTGTTCAAGAGAATATTGTATGTGAGTTATAAAAAAGTTTCACATGTTAAACTCTGTCAATTTTAAGGTAGATCGGATAAATCCAAAAAGGTATAAGCTCAAGTGTGTTCACACAGATTGTATGTTCAGGCTCACTGTATCATACAGGTTGATAAGTGATTGTTGGGTGATAGGTTCTATGTCCACCCACACGTGCGCTAATTCTACTCAATCACAAGATCGTCGTAAACTAAATTATGATCTAATATGTCAAGAAATCCTACCTCTCGTCAACAATGATCTGTCATTGAAGGTGAAAACCATAATCTATCACATCACTACAGTATACAATTATACTCCTTCATACAAAAAGGTGTGGTTAACAAAGACCAAGGCAATTGAAAAGGTATATGGAAACTGGGAAGAGTCATATAAAGAACTAACGCGCTACCTGCATGCATTTCAGACATATGCTTCTGAAATTGTTTATATTATGGAAACATTGCCGATGTATGCCCCAGATGGTACTTTTGTCAATGGAAATGGAATATTCAATAGACTGTTTTAGACTTTTCAACCTTGCATCACAGAGTTTGCGTCCTGCAAACCTATTATTCAGATAGATGAAATGTATTTTTACGGGAAATACAAAGGCACGCTACTGATGGCAGTTGCACAAGATGGCAACAACAATATTTTCCCAATTTCCTTTGCTCTAGTCGAGGGAGAGACTAGTGGTGCTTGGAGTTTCTTTCTCAAGAATCTCCTAACACACGTGGCACCACAACCTAGTCTTTGTTTAATCTCCGACAGACATGCATCTATTGAGAGTGCATACAATAATCTTGCAAATGGTTGGCATGACACTCATTTTACGCATGTCTACTGCATTAGACATATCGCACAAAATTTCACGAGGGAGGTCAAAGACAAAGCTCTTAAGAAAACAATTACGAACGTGGGGTATGCATTAACACAACCTTCGTTGAAACATTATCACAACGAGATCAGATTATCAAATCCGGATGCAGGTAGGTGGATTGATAATATTCCATTGGAGAAATCGACAAGGTCATACGACAATGCACAATGATGGGGCCACATCACAATAAATTTTATTGAATCAATGAACGGTGTATTCAAAGGCATACGAAACCTCCCAGTAACCGCTTTGGTGAAATCAACATATTTTAGGTTGGCTTCGTTGTTTGCAAAAAAAAAGTGAAATATGAAATGCAGTCTTACAATCGGGACAACTATGGAGTGAAAGCTGCATGAAATATATTAAGGCAGAAGGCGTCAAAGGCAACACCCATTTTGTTATAAGGTTTGACCGACATAGCCACAACTTCATTGTCAAAGAGACAATCGACCACAACGAGGAGCTGCCAAGACAAGAGTATAGGGTTATACTACCATCTTATTGGTTCGATTGTGGAAAGTTTCAAGTCTTTTGTATGTTTTGCTCTCATGTTATTGCGGCATATACGTATACTCATCAAGATGCATTACTACTTCTATCTCCCATTTATAAGTCTGAAACCTTGCTCATCGTATACAACAATGGCTTTCCAATGATGGTGAAACCTGATTATTGATCTGCATACGAAAGAGAAATAGTATGATACAATGATCAAATGCAAATGAATAAAAAGGATTATCCCAAAAGCAAGTGTATCACAACTCAAATGGACTCCCTTGATAAACTACAAAGAAAGTGTGATTTATATCGTCAGGCCGGACACAATCGAGAAAATTATCTCACTCGTGCTACAAGTTCGACAACATAAAAATTAAATGCAAGCTATTTGGACTTTTTAAAGATCTAAACGTAACTTTTTTTCATTAAAAGCATTTGTTACAACAAACCATACGCAAACAACAAATAAAAACACATCACCACCATTACGATAAAATACAACATGTAAATATAATATTAGTAACACGATAAAACATCTAAGAAATTACAATCGTCAAAACAATTTCATCTGAGCCATGCATCATCACCATATTCCAATTGCAAGTGAGGTGGTTGTTCTTCTTCTCTAGATCCTTCTAATTTATTCCCCAGCTTCGATGTCTCTCTCTAGCCATCGCATCAATTCTCTCTTCAGACGCTCCATGGAGTAAATGTGTCAAAATTTTATTTTCATCGGAGGTCTGGTGGCCGAGAAAATAACATACCCATCTCTGGTGAAAATCATGGAAGATATCATGATGCAAAAAGTAGAGAGAAAATGAGAAGAAAATGTGAGAAAGTGTAAAGAATGATGGTAAAATGAGTATTTCATTTATAAAAAACACAATTACACGTAGTAGCCATCTCAGATGGCACCTCCTCCCAATATTATAGTGCATGCGCCATCTCACATGGCTAAAAAAAAATGCATGCGCCAAGTGAGATGGCGCCTAAGACAAAAAAGTGAGTACATGCACCAAGTGAGAGGGCGCTTTCATTGCTGTATATTCTGAAACATGATTATTTGTGTAATTTTTTTCGAAACATAATTATATGTATTTTTTTTTTAAAACATAGTTATTGTTAAAAAAATTATTATTACAGCATGATAAGATTAGAATTAGAACATAAATAAAGGCAAGTTTATTAGTTTTTTATTTATAAAAAAACTATTAAAAAACAATCGCTTTCTATGTGATTGATTTAGTGAATAATTTAAAGCAAGAAATATGTGATTGATTTAGTGAATAATTTAAAGCAAGAAACGGAAGAATGTACATGTATCATTGATTTAGTGAATAATTTTTAATTTATTAAATTAATTTTTCTTTTTAATAAAAAGATCATAGGATGGTTGTGATAAGGAATAATTGAGATTTATTCTTGCCTTTTTTACTTTCACTTTTTCTTATAAATAAGTATTTTCTAATTTTTATTTATTTATAAAAACTAAATACAGCTCAGAATAAAAACTTATCTTAAATTTTCAAATAAAATTGTGGGTTTTTTAAAAACAATAGATTTTCACAACATATACAAACATGACAGATTGAAATAGCGTGTATTTGAATAATTATTTTTAAAATAATATTTTAAATATTTCATTATTTTAATATAATTTTTTAAAAATTTCAAAAAAAAAACATTTAAAATTTTTACTACTTCTAATAACTTTGGTTCGTGTTACATGACGTCATTTGAACTTGAGGCTGTATCTTTATTTAAAACCAACCAGTCATGCGAGAGTTCGGAATGTGGCATATTCTCTTGTTTTAAACTAAAAATGTGAGGGATCCAAATCCTATACTAAAATGACTGCATTTTTTGTTTCCAAACTTACTCTGTAATTCAAGAATAAGAGTATTTATTCAAATGCCCACCCTGGTTCCATCAAAATTTACACAATACGATAAAATAGTTCAGTGAGATCCTCAAACCGTTGGATCGTTTTGGGGAACCATGTTTTACTTGCTGTATTATTCATATCCTACAAGAGGATCGTAAAGAACTTAGCAATAATCAATACAATAAGTAAAGGCATCTGTGATCAATACCCATTAACAAACTGTACTACAGATTAACGACAAAATCAAGAAATATAAACACAAAAAAGTGAATCCCTCTTTATGTAAGAGGGGAAAACAAAAAGGACAACATTGACAGCAGTAACCTTCAAATTAGCAGATAAAATACATTTTTATCACAATATACACAATTGTTCAAATTGAAGGAAATTATATAGGAAAACGGTATAAAAGCAAGCAGAAAACCCGTGAAAGAAAATCACGAAGCACCTTGGAAAGACAATCGGTCTCGAAGAGTATCAAATATTGATGAACCTCCTGCATTTTGCGCAAACGTCAATTTCAAACGACCAAGCAATTCACCATCTTTTGCCTGTGAAGCCGCATCCGCGGCTTCCTTAGCCATACCAATTCGAGCATATGACTGTCCAAAATAAGAAAGATATAAAACTGTAATATACCACACTACATATGGGCAAAAGTATTATACTAAAATAAAAAATTATTATTATTATATTATGTTAAATATTTTATGGTATTCATATATATTTTGCATAAACAAATATCATATAAATAGGGATAGTCCTGTATTTGTTTCTTGTAATTATTGTCCTGCTTCTGCCCTATATAAAATTGACTCCGCTATGTAGTTCAAACACAGTTTCCCGTGTCTCTATTTTTCACTAGTTCAACATATTATTTGGTAAGCAAAGCTCTAATTCAAGTTAAGTCTCACTTAAATAGCAAAAGCTCTAATTTGTGCTACAAATTGGCAGTGGTGTGCAATTTCTACAATCCATCTAGATCGCAAAGCTTGAATCGTTAAGGGTGTCTCGACTTTGATACTTGTAACAGGATAGATCTTGTTTATCTTATCTTTGACATTATATTCACTGTTGTTTCAAGGAAATAGTCATCATTTAAACATAGAGGCTCGGTAGCCATTTCTGCATTTTAAGCCTCATCACTTTCCAATTTCCATGTTCTAATTTGAATTTTCTATTTAGGAAGGAGGTAGTTGTTCTTTTCTTCCTTTTCTGATAAAAATAACTACCTAACAAACATCCCTCCCCCAGCCCCAAAAAGAACATTGCTTAACCTTCAATAAATTCCTACATCAGAGAAGCAGTAACGCTAAAAGTATGATGGGATAAGTATTATGATAATCAAGATCAAAGGTGCAGGGACGAATGTAGGCAGTACTGGATGACTGCTTAATATATATGTCAAGTGTTTGGTTAATTTTTCATTTTATACAGAAAAATGATGAATTTTAGCCATAATCAATGGCTAAGATTATGATCAAATGCATGCATTGTTTGTTTAAACCTCAAACAATCAATAGTGTATCTTTTCCTCTAAAGGTGAGGTACCCAAATCTATTTGAGAAGCAACTAGTTCAACTAAAAACATGAAGGAAAAGAAAACAATAATAGAGCAGGTTATTGGTTGGTTATTATTATAAGCCATTCAATCTTTTAATTCTCAAAAACTTTAAAAAATAACAAATACATCAATTGAGATTTGAGACAAAGCTTAAAGTACCTCAGCTTTTTCTCGAGGGTCTGCAAGTTTGGGGATATATTTAATAGCTTCTCCCTTTTCATCTGCTTCAATGCATGCCTCCACAAATGGCCTATAACCTATGGATGCCAAAACATGTAAGTACTGGTCGTCAATATAATAAAAAGGAACCAAACATAGTTAAAATAAAAAAGGAAACAACTACTAATACTAATTCAGAATAACCATCAGAAGAATGAACCAATATTTCAGATCTGCGTCCACTTTCATTGCTTATAGGGGTCTCGCTAAAAAGTGCCCAAAAGATATAGTTTAAAGAGCACTTAATAGTGTAAGTATTAAACCTAAAATCATTCTTATATTTTAAAAATTATACTTTATTTTTCCTTAAATACTTTCTACTTTATATTTCTCAACCAATGGCCTAAGGGTACTCCTTAGCATTTGCTTCTTCCATAGATATTAAAAACTGCAAAATATATGCTGGAATTCTTAATTAAAAAAGCAATGCAACTCTAATTTGAAAATCATCACATTTCGAAAAAGTACAAAAACTAATTTGATATTATAACATAAAAACAGTTGGAAATCAAATCTACACAGATGTAGCACCCCTTCAAACCCAACACAATGAAGGTGTTGGAGACTGCAATGAAATGCTGCAATTTAGGCGACTAGGGGTGAACCACAATAAAAACAGAAATTCCAACAATTACACACTCTAAAACTTAAATAATCTAAAATAGTTTACTTAAATAGAAACTGAAATAGTTTCGGAAACACATTTGTATAGTAATTTTCTAGTATGGTTATGAAGATCATGAAAACCATATGCATAGTAACTTACAAATGAGCCAAAAGCTTCGTAATTATTTTCAAACAGACCAAGATACAACAAGACTGAAATCTTTTACTTCAATTTCAGACACAAATAATTGTCATTAATAATGACAATGTAACCTGACTTGGAAAATATTAATAAAAATTATATAAAATGCAGCTAAATAACAAAAGGGTGCATAATTGGAGAAGTTTCAACTTTCAAGCATTATTGAAATAGAATTCTTAATTAAAAAAAGCAATGCAACTTTACTCTTAAAATAGCCACACTTCACATACAAAACCTTATTCGAAAAAATATAATCAGATCTACACAAAAGTAGCACCCTGCTAAAACCAATATAGAGAGATCATGAAAAAGAAATTATACTTAAACTTCTTTATCTTTGTTCTCATACACAATTTAATTAAGCAAACCAAATATCAGATTTTGCATGTTTACCACCCAAACAAATCCAATTGTTTAGCCAAAATCTTAAAACAATTTGAATATTTCCACAAAACCCATTTGAAAATTGGCTGGAAAAAACACCACAAAATGTCCCCAAAACTACAGGAACTTGGCCTGAAGCTAGTGTTTTTTATATTCTTTGCATTTTATTTTATATCAATCTAAAATATGCTTCAATGACCAAACCTTTGAAATAAATTTTCTTGATGAAACTAATGGTCAATGTGTTTTCATGTTTAAATTGTATGAATGGAGAATGTTTTGTAGCAAGATAAAATAACCGCGAGTATAACATATCCACCCAAAACAATGACCAGTACTTATAACCAAGCCATTAAATTAAAGCCTTTCAGTTTGGCCAACTAGTGCTCACATTGGAGTTAAATAAAATTTATAAGGCGTGATTTAGTTTGAAATTGAATGACTTCCTTCCGAATGCCCTAAAAATACACACTAGCAGTATGAAACCTTACCTATTGGAGGTTTTTTCTCCTTTGAAAATTTTTCTAAAGCAGCCCAGTCCTTTATTGTGGCCAAAGCAAAAACCTTAAGCCAATACCATCTCTTCTCAGACACCTGTAAGAAGTAGAACCATAAAATTATATGCTCAGGAACTGATTTACAAATAAGAAGTAGAGGACATAAGCAGACACCTGTAAGAAGTAGAACCATAAAATTATATGCTCAGGAACTGATTTACAAATAAGAAGTAGAGGACATAAGCAGTGGTCATGTTCTGTTCGTTTCACATTATTTTATCATCTTTTACACAAATCATTCATTCAAAGGCACAAAATGAGTCGTTCTATTTCTTTAAAGAACCACAATCAAGGTCCAACTTAAGAGTTACCAACCTTGAATTCTGTTTTCACTTTTAGTGCAGCTCGATGATTTCCCAAGACAATACAAGTCCGGATTGTATCACTTATACTAGAATCCACAAAAATGGCCTGCTTTGTAGTCACTTCAAGTTCATGCTGGAGTCTGCAGTAGCAACAGTGTCATAAATTTCCCTTGCCCGAAGACATGAATATTTAGTCAACAAGGATTTATAAATTTATTTAACAGCTAGTAACATAGTCGAAATGTTACTGCAAAAATATATGAATAATCATGTACTGATAAATATATGAACATCAAAGCACATCAAAAGCCCGACAACTTAAATTATTCAAGATTTATTCTATAGTCTAGCAATGTGACAAAAAACTGATGATCACACCTTAAAAGTTTTGCATGCTCCTCAGCTGCCTTTGATTCAAAGGTATGTTCCTTGGTTTCGGCAAAAAGATTTTGTGCCTTCTCAATAAGTTTTATTCGAGGACCATGAAGTGGAGATCCTTTGCTTGCCATGGGATTTTTTTCAAGTTCCCATGATTCTTTCCAAAGAAGAAATGCCACATCCTGTATGGATTAACTTCAGAATAAATTCCAGTATTAAAATGGAAAGTATGAAAAGTTGCAGTTGAGCATATAAGAATTTGATTATTAGCAATACTTAAATCTAGCATAACTGGTGCTGGCATAACATATGTATGAGTGACAGTGTTGTAACTAGTAAATCATTGAAAACTGCAAGATGTAAACAAGATTAATGACTAGCTTAAAGTAAAAACTATAATAGTGAGAAAAGGAAAAGAAAAAAAATTGGCATAATGTCATGATAATTAGTCAGATGACATGTGAGTAGATAAACTGTCCATTATGCAGCGCAGTATTTATGAGATTGAATGAGAGGTTATCAGTATTGTGTAAAACCACCCCCTTCAAGGAAATGCAACTGATGATATATATACTAGACATTTTCCCCGTATACAATATTCCGAATCAGAAGTCATGCATATTATGCAATTTGTTGCAAACAGAACATACTTGAAGTTGCCCTGTTGATAAGAAGAAGTCCTTCAAAAATTCATGTTTATAGCACCTGAAAATTAGATATATTAATCAATGGCTGCATGATATTATTTCTCAATAAAACATATTGAAAACTTCAAAATATGTGATTCTATTTTGATCATTTAAAAAAGGAACTAGTATGTCCAAGCTAGAAAACATGGACATAGATTAATAAATCCGATCCAGATTATATTGTAACCATTAAGTTTCACCCATATCTCCCTCTAATTTTAATATTTAAAGACACGCCTCCCAACTCACCTATACTTGAAATGTATGGAATATGGATGAGATACATCCTCAACAAAACATTGCCAAGGTTCTGGGAGTTTAAACAATCAACATCTAGAAAAGGTGGCAAAAACAGATCAAGGAGATAGAAATCTGAAAATACGGGGGATAACACATCTTTTATTGATGAATATCATTGTTAACACTAAAGATTTTAGTCTTAGGCATACGGGGAGGAAATGAGAGAGCGAAAACAAAATATATTACAAAATGGATATTTATATGATATGAGAAGGTGTAATAAAGCCCAAAATACTAAACCGCAATTTACAGTATAAATAATTGAGATATGGATAAATAGTTAATAGTACGTTTGGTCCCAGCAATATGGGACCAATCAGGTTTTAGTCCCTGCAAATATATATTTTTATTTCATCCCTATCATTCAAGGTTATCCTATTTTTAATCCTCCATAGAATATGACCTAGCCAAAATGACTCTGGTGTGGAAAAATGCACACTTATGAAGACATTTTTAAATGATGTGGCCTTAACTTAACAATATCACATTATTTTTTTCGGAGATCATATTTTATAAAATAATTTAGGTTTTTTCTCCCTCTCCACTCCCATCTTCACTTTTCAATATCACCACTACCCCATATCCAAAACCAGAAAGACATAATTTAAACCAACTTGAAACTCCATGGAAACAATTTCTCAAGTTGTGCAGGTACTTGAAGCTATTAAAAAAGCTTCTCACAACATACAACAAGATCACAACAAAGGAGGGAGGGAGGGAGGTAGGGACACCGCCTATTAAATCACCAACTTTAAGAAGTATGTAACCCATGATTCCAACAGGGGATCCAATTGCCAAAGCACCTGTAACATCTTTCAATCATCATCTTTGCAGCTTCTACACCCACTAGCAAATCACACCCTCACAAGTATACTTCACCAACTATACTAGTGGTCAAACTTCCAAACCTTTGTTACTTCTGCTAAATCAATTTCCCTCATTGAAGTTGATGAAACCAGTAATTAATGAGTAGCACAACAAAGGAAGATGATGAGATCATAAGTTCACTAAGCATATGGAAGGAAACATACAAATAATGTTCCAGATAAAATAAATATTTTATTTATGGTTTTATTTTATAATAATTAAGCATTTTCGTATTTGATGACTCACATGCCTTGTTTTGGCCATATCTGAAGATCTTTAATGCATTGAAAAGCTAAGAAAATTATATACAATTCATACGTTGGGGTCAAAACGAAATTATGTTTTTTTATGACTCGAAAATCTTCATCAATAAGAAAGAGAAGATGAAGGAAATGCGAATATCCATTTTCTCCACTATCTTTAAGTGGGTGACCTTTCTTTCTCAAGTCATTATTAATAGAATAGTGGGATGAATTTGCATCATTTCACGAGTTAATTTTGAAAATTTAAAAAGTTACCCTGTAACTATCAATAAGGAGCTAATCATGAAAGAATTTTGAGGGCATTGCTCATTTGATTCTGGATTAGGCCATATTTTGATCTTATCAAGAGAAACCAAATTTCTTGTGGTGATCTTCACTTATACTTATCATCCTTTCTAAATCATAGAAAGAGTGTGGCGCCCCATTTCTATCATTTTCATCAATTTCTTTCTAAATTTTTCATTGTTACAATTTTGTCTCAATTCATATTATTCCTTTAAATTCGTGTCGTGTAGAAATTTTGTCTCAATTCATATTATAGAAAGAAGTTGATGGAAAGGATAGAAATGTGGTGTCACACTCTTTCTATAAATAAGAAAGAATGATAAGATATCACCACAAGAAACTTAGTTTCTTGATAAGATCAAAAAAACGGTTCAATCCAAAACCAAATAAGCAATGTTCTCAAAATCACACAATGTGTTTGTTTAACAAAATTCAACTTTTTCTTTTTTTCTTTCCTCTTTTTTTTTTTGTATATATGATTCAATACAAGCTAATAAGAACAGAAATTGAAATTTGCAACAAAAAATGGTCATAAACGAACCGTACTCTTGATACCACTTGATGACTAACCGATTTGTGAGTCAGCCATTTTTATCATACTTTGTTATGTTTATGAAACTTGTGATCATAAATAATATTACACAAATTTAAAGGAATAATATGAATTGGGATAAAATTGTAACAACGAAAAATTTAAAAAGAAGTTATGGAAAGAATAGAAATGAGGCACCACGCTCTTTTTATGATTTAGAAAGGATGATAAGTCTAAGAGAAGATCACCACAAGAAACTTGATTTCTTGATAAGATCAAAATATGGTCCAGTTCAGAACCAAATGAGCAATGCTCTCAAAATCACACAAAGAGTTTGTTTAACAAAATTCAACTTTTTTTTAATTCATGATTAGCTACTATTTATAGGTAAAGCGTAGCTTTCTAAATTTACAAAATTAACTCATGAAATGATACAAATTCATCCCACTATTCTATTAATAATGACTTGAGAAAGAAAGGTCACACACTTAAAGATAGTGGAGAAAATGGATATTCATTGTCTTTCCTTCATCTTCTCTTTCTTATTGATGAAGATTTTCGAGCCATAAAAAAACATAATTTCGTTTTGACCTCAACATATCAAGTCAATTGGACTCCTAAAACTTCAGATATGGGCAAAACAAGGTAGGTGGACCATCAAATACGAAAATGCTTAATTATTATAAAATAAGACCATAAATAAAATAAAATATTTATTTTAATTGAAACAATTTTTGTATATTTACTTTCACATGCTTAGTGAACTTATGATCTCATCAGAAGAATAAGGGAGTGTGGTCTTGAATACTTTATTTAGGGTTGAGTAGTGATTGGGGAATGATGGGGTCACACTCACATGATGATGAGTAAGATCTGAGGGTGGGATACGATATGAGGGAGGGTGAAACTGATAAACCTAATCTTATCTCTTTTTTTTGTTGTTTTTTTATTTTATGTATTGTGTAATCACCAATTAAATAGCCGCATTATTTAAAAATGTACACCTAAGCACGTACTTTTCACATCAGCATTTAGGCAATATTAGATTCTACGAAGCACTTAAAAGTGGGTGAATCTTAAATGCTCGGAATGGAATCAAAAAATATGTGCAGGGACTAAAATCTATTGGTCTCATATTACAGAGACCAAAAGCACCGTTAACCTAATGGAAAATGATCCCAACATAACCATGCTAAAATAATCTCCATTATTCTAAACTACAATTTTGATATATGTTTAAATATATTTTAATCCCTAAAAGTATGGTTATTTTTAAAATTCATCCTTATTGAGTTTTTTAAAAATTCAATCCTAACAATTGTTTTTTTTAAATATTTTTAATACTCATAAAGCACTATTTTTACTAAATATAGGAACCATAAAGAAATAAGAACTGAAAAATCACAAGAAATGAATAATATATGTGTTTAAACCTCTTTCATATATTCTAAATATGTTAAATATGTGAAGCACGAACACCTCTAGAGTCTCTAGGAGTAGGCGTGTTGTGGTGTCCGATACTTGAATGATACTCGTACGACACGTGTCAGAAAAGTCAGACAAGGGCCAGAAAAGTCAAACAAGTGTCCCTCAAAAAAATATTTTTTCTTTACTTCGACACTTTTTGAACCGATTTCCGACAATCGTGTGACACTCATACAACATGTGTTGGACAATTCAAACAAGTGTTTCAAAAAAAAATTGTTTTTTTCTTTGCTTCAACAAGTGTTACAGATTGTTTTGGACAATCCCCACACACATCTAAAAGGTTTAAGGTTTAAACATGTATTGAAGCAATGTTATCAATGATGGATTAAAGGCATTAAGGAGTCATTGCAAGTATGAGTAAATTAAATGACATCCTTTTTTCCTAAAGTGTTTTTACAAATAAAGTGGCAAGTAAATGGACATAAATAAAGCATGTTATCTATCATTGAGCAAGTTTTTAGAAAGGGTGTATCCAAAACCAAAAGTGTATAGGTAGCATTGACCTTAAGAAAATACTGTTCAGTGATCGCCTGAACTTCTACTTTTATATTAATAGACAACTCTTCCATGCAATCAATGATTTGGCCAAAAAAACATTTTTATTATCTGCAGTTTCATTTATTCATTTTCCTATGAGTTAGCATTGAACCTTAATATAACATAACCAGGACACACTGTCTTGCCTTTTGAAAACTGGTTCAATGGAACATACCGTGCATAAGTTATAAATAAGTCACGCGCTAATTGTCTGGCCTGTATGGTTCCAAAAAACTCCAATGGCTGCCTCTGCATCATCATAACAAGAATGTGTGCATGAGATACATGTGTTACTACATAAACATCAAAAACCTGACATTTAAAATATGAAATATTCCAAAGTTCAATACCTTTTGCCAAATATGAAAAAGTATAAGGTAAACAAGGTCTGTATCACCACATTCAGTTGCCTTCATCAAGGCTATATCTTCTTCTCCTATGCTCAACAGGAGAGGAACCTAAGCACGAAGTAATGAGAATAGTAATAAAATATCCCATCAGAAATCAGCCATCAAATTGTGTGACTTGGGAGGAGGGAAACAAGATTGCGACAGCATTATTATAAATGTATCCAAAATAACCGGAAAACCAGAGTTTCACCTGTTTAGACGAACGGGGTTCATGTTCAACAAGCAAGGCAGCTAACTTTCGGCGGCCATTTTTGTCTGCATGAGCAGCAACTGCTGCATAGGATATGCTTTTGCACAGTTTTAACTGAGAGTAAAAGAATGCAATTCAAGAGTAGTTGTATATACTAGGATGATTGCAAAAAAGTTTTAAGTGGGAGAGGGGTACCTTATCAAGCAGAATCTCTAGAAGAGTAGTATCGGGTATTGTCAATGACGCGGTTATCTTAGCACATGCCCAATGCATTATCACTACCTCCTTCATAAAAGTAGTCAGGAAAAAATTCAAATTTACTTCAACGCACAAAGAGGATTGTTGATGTACTGTCGAAGTGATGATATCAGTAATTAATAAAAACAGGGAATAAAACAACCAATCAATTGTATTGTAGCAATTCATTGTACACTGCATTGTTTTCTTGTAGCCTGTTCATTTGTTTGAACAACCAACAATATGTATCAATTGTTTGCCAATCCCCATGGATATACTGAACCCTATGAAGCACGGATTCTGATAGGAAACATAGCTAATGTCAAGGACATGGGGATGCCACATAAATATTTTTATTTATGTGTGTTTGTGGGTATTTTATACAATTAACATGAGACAAATCTAAATTGAGAATTATGATTAACATATCAACCTTCTAAAAACAAATTTATCGTAATTATAATGACCCTCAGTCCCTCACAAAAAATAGTACTCAGACTAAGGAATCATTTATAATGCAACTCCTACATAAGAAGATGGCTCATGCCTTCTACAACTACTTGTAAATCCTATGATAATAAACCAACTTAAAGAGATGATAAAAGGCATCAGTTTGATATTTATATCAAAAAGTAAGAGATATAATCTGAGGTTAGGGGGTGTTCAAGAAGTGTTTGACCATGAGCGGGTGTTGACTCGGTCTCTTGGCACATGTCTAACAGGTATTAAAGCCAAAATTAGTTAGTTTTTAAAATTGCACACCTTTAAAAGGTGTCTGACACTTGTTCGGGACATGTCCGAGGAAGTGACGGCATTCAAAATGTGTCTAGCACAGCACTTTGGAGAAGTGTTTGTGCTTGATAGACTAAACCTTTAGACTCACGAGGACAGTACAAAGGCGATGGCTCCTGCGTGTACCAAGTATGTCAGAGCTCCTTTCAGCTTAAAAATGGGATGGAAGTAATTGTGATACCTTGGCTTCTTAACATAAAGTTGAGGCTAAACAGCAAAAGACTATACTGACTGCCTCGCCACAAAAGGCACCTTTGTCTTACATAATGTTTAGGCTTAATGCCAAAATTAAATGAAGGTAAGAAAGAAGTGATAACTGAAAACAGATCAAAGTTTTGAGAAAAAAAGTGGAAGAAATGGAAGAGAATGACTAAGAGGGGGAAAGGGACTCGAGTAAGAATTATCAAGAGGAAGAAAAGGAGGAATATTTTTAACAAATTATAAGAGTCTGTTTGATTTGAAAAAGAATAAGTACTCCACAGAACAGTACATACCTTCAAGTTACTAGACAACTTTTTATTCTGTATGGTATTTGAAGGACAATGGAGAACACAAACCTTTAGAGAATCTCTCATGAGATTCTCTCTCCTTTTATTAGAGAAGATTTTCTATTTTTATTTTGTTTTTATCTCCTTAAAATTTAAGAATGAATATTAAAGAAACAAACAATTTGTATTTCTTTGATATTGTAATAAGTAATACATGAAAGGTATTTATAGAATACAAGGGACAAATCACTTTAAATGCTAATTCTAAATATGGTAGAAGACAACTAATTACTAATTATTAATAGCTAATTACTAATTATTATTTACAATTAATATTATGTTGAGTTGTATAACACAAAATCGGTTGATTATGTACTTATCTCTCTAATAACTTCCAACACTCCCCCTCAAGCTGGGGAATGGATATCTATCATCCCCAGCTTGCAAGTAAGATCTTGAAACCGCTCCAAGGGAAGTCCTTTGGTGAGCACATCAGCTAACTGAAGTCCTGATGGGACGTATTGTGTAGAAATAAGACCACTATCCAATTTCTCTTTGATGAAGTGTCGGCCTATCTCTATATGCTTTGTTTTGTTGTGTTGGACCGGATTGTAAGCAATAGTAATGGCAGACTTATTATCGCAGAAAAGTCTCATAGGAGCTTCATACTTTATTTTCAAGTCATCTAGAATCCACAATAATTCACAAACTCTTTGAGCCATGGCTCTAAACTTTGCCTCTGCACTTGATCTGACAACTACATTTTGTTTCTTGCTCCTCCATGTCACTAAATTTCCACCTAGAAACATACAATATCCAGTGGGGGATCTTCTGTCAACAATCGACCCTGCATAATCCGCATCAGTATAAACCTCCATAGACAACTGCTCACTTTTCTTGAACAGTAGTCATCTTCCTGGGCTCATCTTTAGATACTGCAAGATTATATCCACTGCCTGTAAGTGCCTCTCCCGTGGGTCATGCATGGATTGACTGACAACACTAACCGAATAAGCTATGTCAAGCCTGGTGTGAGATAGATAAATAAGCTTTCCCACAAGTCTCTGGTATTGAGCTTTATCAACCCTTGGGGTTTCCTCATCACTCCCAATCTTGTGGTTTTATTCTATAGGCACTCTGGAGGATTTACAACCCAACTTGCCAGTCTCTTTGAGAAGGTCAAGGACATATTTTCTTTGAGAAATGAAAATGCCTTGTTTTGAGTATGCTACCTCCATACCCTAGGAAATATTTCAACTTTCCAAGATCTTTCATTTCAAACTGAGCTGCCAACTCCTTCCTCAAGTTCTTATTCTCAAATTCATCATTACCTGCTATGATCATATCGTCTACGAAGACTAACAAAAGAGTGAGCTTACCATTTTGAACATGCTTTATAAAGAGAGTATGATCACCTTGGCTTTGTTTATAACCCAAGGACACCATAACATGAGTGAGCCTCCCAAACCAAGTCCGGGGTGATTGCTTGAGCCCATATATAGCCTTCTTTAACCTGAAAACTTTATTACTTTCTGAAATAGGGTCATATCCGGGTGGGATCTCCATATACACCTCTTCCTCCAAATCTCCATGCAAGAAAGCATTTTTCACATCAAATTGTTGCAACTTCCAATCAAAGTGAGTTGCCAAAGAAAGAATGATTCTTTCGGTGTTCATTTTTGCTACTAGAGCAAATGTCTCTTCATAATCAATTCCATAGGTCTGGGTGTATCCCTTTGCAACTAGCCTCGCCTTATATCTGTCAAGTGTACCGTCGGATCGGTATTTTACCGTATATATCCACCTGCAGCCTACTGGCCTCTTGTCATTTGGCTTCTCAATAATCTCCCAAGTCCCATTTTTCTCTAGTGCATGCATCTCTTCATTCATGGCTTGAATCCAATTTTTATCCTTAATATGCTTCTTGTACTGATGCAGGGACTCTAATAGAGCCAATAGCTGAAATAAAACTCAGATGCTGCACAGAAAGCTTTTTAGTAGACACAATCTGGGATATAGGGTATTTGGTACAAGACCTTTTTTCTTTTCTCAAAGCAATAGATAGGTCATCAAGGTTTGGCTCACAAGAATTACTAGGCTCAGGGTTAGGAACACTTACCTCAGGTTCAAACGATTGGACTTATTGGGACAGAACGAGTTTACCTTTCCACCTTTTTCGCTGGAACTGTAACTTGTATCTGTCAACATTATTACGCACCGGTATCGGTACATCACCATCCTCATTAGGCATCAAGGGCTCATGTATTACAGGAATAACAGGAAGAACAAACAACTCATAAGAGGACTCTGGGTCCTGTATTAGAGGAATAACAGGCAACTCAGGAGACGACTCTGAGTCCGGTATTAGAGGAATAACAGGAAGGACAAACAACTCTGAAGACTCAGCTTCTTGATTATTCTCCTCCTGAAGCTGAGGACTGGGATAAAAAAACTCAGATTCCTGAAAAGTAACATCCATGGATATATAGACACGACGACTAGGAGGATGATAACACTTGTACCCCTTCTTATCTGAAGCATATTCTATGAAGATACATTTAATAGCCCGAGGATCTAACTTACCCCGATGAGGACCATGAACATAGATAAAGGCAGAACAACCAAAGACAAGATTCTGAAGACTTGATATAATGGGCACGGACGAAAACAATCGAGTCAGAACCTGCACAGGACTAACACGAGATAACACCCTAGAAGGTAACCTATTGATTAAATAAGCAGAGGTCAAGACAGCTTCCCCCCAATAAAAATTAGAAACATCCATTTGAAAGCGTAATGCTCGGGTGATTTCAAGAAGATGACGATTTTTCCTTTCAGCAACCCCATTTTGTCGTGGAGTGTCAACACAAGTCAACTCATGAACAACACCATTAGTTTTGAGAAAATTGTGAAAATTTTGGTTTACATACTCCTTACCATTGTCTGACAGTAACCTTTTAATAGGTTTCCCAAATTGTGTTTTAACCATTTGAAAAAAGTTAACAAACAATTGACACACTTCAGACTTATCTTTCATAAGAAAAACCCATGTAACCCGAGTACAGTCATCAATAAAAGTAACATACCATTTTGCACCAGAAATATTGGAAATGGATTAAGGGTCCGGCACTCCTAGTATCACTAGGGGAATAGGTTGCTCGATGGAATTTGGCAAATTGACACACATCACAATGAAAGAAATCAACAGACACTTTGGTAAATAGGTGAGGGAATAAAGACCTGAGCATGCGGAAAGGAGGATGTCCAAGGCGCCTGTGTTGGAACCATATTTGAGTATTTGCCCATGACTCTGAACCAGCCTGATGACACTTGCTTTCCTTATGAGGCAGATAATATAGCTCGTTCTGTTCCTCAGCAATTCCAATCGTCTTCTCTGTGGCAAGGTCCTGAAAAACACAATGAGAATGAAAAAAAGTTACAGCACAATTCAAGTCTTTAGTGAGTTTATGGATGGACAAAAGATTGTTAGAAAGCTTAGGGACATGAAGTACATGATTTTAGGTGGAGAGATGTGCTTAGGCGGATGTTACCAGATCCGACAATCGGGGTTTGGGACCCATTTGCAACGGTAATATTGGGTTTATTAGGTAAAGGTGAATAAGAGGAGAGATATGACATATATGGGGTCATGTGATCAGTTGCACCGGAGTCAATAATCCAGATATCTTTAGACCAAGAGGCATTAAAAGCTAAAAAGCTAGAGTTCTTACCAGTCATGGTCAGAGAACTACTGTTAGAGAACTTACTTAAGGAATCCATAAAGAGAAACAAACCGTCTTGAGCCAGGAGAGTCGAGATCTACTGTTAGGAGAGGATCGAAGGACTGCCAATGAGAAACTCTAACAAACATGACAACCAAACAATCAAGGGTTGCAAACAGCAAGAAACAGAGGTACAACAATAAAGGTTGTCCTGAAAACAACAATGAAGGTGAAACCGTCTGGATCTGCAACGATGGTTGAGCGGTGCACGACGGCTGCAAAGTCACCAAGATCACTAGGGTTCCAAGAGAAAGGGAACCTTGACCAAGAAAAAAGGGCCGTAATAAGAACGACTAGTGTTTTGAGCGCGGAAGCAGAGCCCCTAGAATCGGGCGCTCTGATACCATAAAGAAACAAACAATATGTATTTCTTTGATATTGTAATAAGTAATACATGAAAGGTATTTATAGAATAGTACAAGGGACAAATCACTTTAAATGCTAATTCTAAATGCTAATTCTAAATATGGTAGAAGACAACTAATTACTAAATATTAGTAGCTAATTACTAATTATTATTTACAATTAATATTATGTTAAGTTGTATAACACAAAATATGTTGATTATGTACTTATCTCTCTAATAACATCCAACAAATATTAATTGTATTCTATCTATTTAAACCAGACAGGTCGATTGAGAAGTAAACAGAAAAGTATTCACCCTATTTCTTTCTACATGGTATCATGAGCTCTAGGTTAGGACAGTGGTGCTACTCTAAAGTTTTCTACAAGTTTTCCACAACAAACAACCGCCCCAATGATGAATCCGGCAGACAGGCCAAAGAGATGGTGGTGGCGCAGGCAGAGGAGTCTGAAACAGCACATCTCAAGGTGGTTCCGATGACGGTAACGGAAGTCGCAGCTTTTTTGTGGTATGTCGGCACCAACTGTAACACAGGTTTCAATGATCAAGAGGGCCCCTCAAACTCTCTCAAGGTCAATGTTCCTCAAATGAATGGGAAAAATTACAACAAATGGACCCAAATTTTAAAATGGCATTAGAGCCTATCCAAGATCCGTAAGGTCACTTTCTATCAGGTCTCCTCTATTCGGTCACCCTATTTATATTCACGCACAAGTCAAATAATGTTGGGCATGAAGAGTGGTGTAAGGCACATTAGATAAAATATGGCCTAAACATATTTTTACAAGTGGGGTCAATCCTCACTTTCCAAGCCGATTTTGTAAGGTTAAATTAATTTCAACCAAAATTATAAGATGTACATAATCAGAACAAATTTGTGCTCAATACACTTCCTAAGACTCTAATTGAATATTTATAAACTCAACACCTAGTTCCCTATATCATAAAAAGCCTATGTTGTTAATAGCGGTCGGCGCAGCCGCGATAGCGGTGCACTGCAGCACGGAAAAATTGACGTGGCCGCTTCCGGTTGTACCGGTTCGGCGCGAAATGAGGAAGTGGGTGGCGCGGCCACGATCGTGGGTCTGGGAGCAGATCGGATGTGGTCCGAAGCGGACGGTTTATTTGGTTTGGAAAAGCGGGTCGGGTCCAAACCCTTAATTTTAAACCGTTAGAAATCCTAATTCTAACCGTTATAAACTCTATTCAACCGCAGCTAGTTTCCTTTTCCCATTCGAGTGACTTCTATGTTCCTCTTCGGCTCTTCCTCCATCGCTCATTATCATCTTTGTTCCTCTTCGGCTCTTCCTCCATCGCTCATCATCATCATCTTTGTTCCTCCATTGCTTCAACCTTCAAGTATTTTGATTTGTTTCTCTGCTTCTTTCCATCTCTAGACATCAAATGTTGCAAGATTTGGTTTTCATCATGTATTCAAACTTTGAAAAAGCGCTTTGACAGTGATGATTTGATTGATCTTGTGATCATGGATGATGATATTGATATCAATGACCTATGGTTGTTGGGAGGTGAAGATGAAGCTCATCCTGATAATGATATGGTGTTTGATAATGACATGGTGTTTGATGGTGATGATCAGTGTTATCAAATTGCCCCGTCGTGGCCGCTATGGCGGATATACATGGCAGTTTTTGGGCTCGCCGCAATGGTAAATACCGGCCGCTATTGCGGGTTTTTCCGCCATAATCCGCAATAACAGCGCCGCAAAGCGGCCGGTATGGCGGGATTTTGACTCTCTGCCATGGATCGCCATCGACAACATTGGTGATGATTTGTCTTGGCTAGATATTGAAATTGTAAGTGGTGCTGTTGAGCCTACAATCAAACACTAGGAGCCAAGCAGCATTGCAGAAGGCAACTGCACCTCCACCTTCTTCATCTAGATCTAAACCAAATGCAAAGGAAGTGGTAGTAGTAGATGATAAATTTGGTGATCAAGAATATAATGGAGAGGATGCTAGTGGCAAAGGAAGTGATGATGAAGACTTAGATTTTAATGATTCTTGAACTTTTATTAGAGTTTTGATGTTTAGTTATTTTAAGATTTTAGATGCTTAAGTGTTTGTTTTCTTAAATTTTACTGTTATTTGGAAGTATGTTGCAATGTTTTGCGTAAGACTTATGCCTTTTAATGGTATTTGGAATTGGAAGTATGCTATTATGTATTTGGAAGTATTTTATTGTTTAAGATTTCATAAAGTTAGAGTTTTTTTTTTGTATTTGCTAGTATGTTTTCAGCATGTAAGTACCTATTTTTTAGTGTCCGCGTCGCTAAAATAGTGCCCGCACCGCTCCCATTTTGGGGTTGACCACGCCGCACCGCTCCCATTTTGGGGTTGACCACGCCGCACCGCTTTCCGAGATTAACAACATAGATTAAAAGTACAAAGAAATACACTAAAAAGTATTCAACCATGTAATAAGTATATAGAAGCATGAACCATTAAACGTCCATAACCATAAAATATATGTTTTACTTGGGTGCATTCGGTTTGTGTGTGTATTTGTTCACATTATTAAGGATTAGGCAATTAGCTTCAACTTTGTATTAGCATATTCTCTTTTGAAAGAAATTTTCCTTACATATGTCAAAGAATTAGGTAGCATTGCTTTGCTGTCACAGGTGCTTTGTTCATGCTTTGTTGTTTGTATATCCTTTATATTTTAAGCAGGGTCTATTATCTTCCAAACTCTTGAATTTCATCTTCTCATTGTCTTAATGAATATTTGATTTTATAAAAGAGGGCGGCGAAATCCAGGACTTGCCAGGTAACGTAATGCACTTACTTCTCATCGTAAGGGGGGATATTTCAAGAAAAGCAAGTCTCAATCTTGTATTTGATCGGTTGGTGATACACAGTTACAAAAAAAGTGCAAAAATATACAAGATGCATACACTTACTTGATTCATTCCGAGATATTCCGATATCCGCAATGCAAGCAGATGTTGGTAAGCATTTATCAAGCGACCAATCAGGACAGATGGTGTAAGCAACTGATAGTAATAAGCAAAATCAGTACAATGTCAGCAAAGACAATATCAGCACTAAAGAGACAGGTATGCCTTAAAACCTTATATTGCTGAATACTAAGAGGAATGCCGATCTCGAGGCTGCGCACTGCATTCAAGACCCGCAGAATTTTACACATTTCTTGGATACGATCACGATGAAAATTGCTGCCAAAGTCAACTGGATATCATTACCGAGAGTGAATATCAGAAAATATGTTTGCCAAACTTTCACTACTTAAAGAGTGTAAACTAAGGCATCAAAGCAATTTTTAAAACATTTGGGGCAGTATATCAAACTGAAGATCCAAATCAAACTCACCTACAAAAGGCCTGCCCATAACTGGCAGCCCTTAGAAGTGTTTGTTGGCGCGAAACATCAAATTCGTGACCTGCAGCATCAACACATGCTTCAACAGCCTCGGGAAGGGAAGATTTTATCAATCTCAAATTTTCATCTGCCTGGGGAATGATGAAAAGAAAATCAGACAGTCCTCTATAAGTTGAACTGTTCGATGATGCCATAGTTAAATTGCAAATACAGACCTCGCGCATCAACTATATAACAAATCACATCTTTTTCCTTATTTTTTGTATCAAAAATATACTGTAAGCAACCCACAAATGCTTGTTTCCTTCATCATTTTCCTTTATGCATAACTAAATTAGAGAAAATAAATCAACCAGACTCAATCAGCCATATTCATCTTTATTAACGGGTGTCAATGTGTCATAGCCATTGGTTGTTTCTTTGTAGAAGTTCAATAAAGGTATTTACATTGTCAATACAAAGCAATGTTCAATGTGTCCAATGCTCAGTAAGACACATTTGAGCATATACGTAAGTTGTCCTATTATAAAGTAAACTCAAACCATAATCAGTTTACGACGCTACAGACCTAAAATTACAATATATAATAATTTGAATGCACATTCCAATTTCCAACTAAATCTGTTGTGAAAGTATATGAAAATATAAAAGCATTACTGCTCAAGAGGGCATAATCTTGTTAATCTATATATTCATTAATTATAGGGCTACACCTAAGAAATTAACATATAATCAATTTGGTAGGAAGTAGGCTATCAGTGAAAGACTCTCGTTAAGTTACCTATTAAATTTTATTTTTTTAAAATAATTAAGATGGAAAACAAAAAAAAAAATTAAAATTATTGATCGATATAGTGGTTTTAGCCTATGGAGAATTATCAACAAGCTATGCAGCCAAGAAAAATGAATTTTAAGGTCTTTGCACTTCAAACAAACCCATAAACACTCTGCAGTCTTTACCTTCTCCAGACCCTAAGTTTGTAAGCTAAAATTTTCATGTATAAGACAATTTCAGAAATTCACTCATAGGCAATGAGTAGATATCTGAATATAATCATATAACCAATGACATACATCAGCTGATACCACAGTTCTCGGGCTTCAAACTCTATGTACAATTATAAATCTATTACTTACGAAACATAGAAAATGATAAAGTTGGTCATGCAACTGTAAAAGAAGAACAGGAATGAAATCTCTACCTTAGCACTACGCCTATCGAAATGATCTAACGCGTCATACAGCAAAGCTGCAGGTGATGTACTGCCAATTGTGAAAATTGAAACTGTGGAGTCAGGAACCCGTTGTAGAAATTCCATACTAGTGTTGGACAATATCCTCACTCCATCAGACTCAGGAATAAGAATTATTGGTTCATCATAAAGGTAGGTAACTGGTTCTCCATCAGGACCCATCATTAAAAGCATATCATCCCAGTAAAGAAGCACAGCATCCATTCCACACCAAGCAAGCTGCTCTGGAGGAAGAGCTGACTGCACATATGAAAACAATAGAGCTGACCACACATAGAGTATATAAAGATCATAAGCAACTATAGTACAGATCATAAACAATTATGGATGTCTCTATAAAGTATATAGATACAGCCTTTTTTGTCACATAGACATGATGCACTAGCAGCATACAATATCATAATAACAGGTAATGAAAATGGGTGGCAATGGCAACATCATATACAAAACAGCAATCAACTGATTGACATGATATAAATTTAAAAGTATGCTACATGCTCACAAATACATTTCTTAAGCATTCACCAATCAAGACTTTAGCACATCCCTCAAATTCTACAAAATCCCATAATCACTCATTTCCTATGTAATTCTGAAATTTCCAATTAAAGGCATGTCCGACACATATCGACGACGCGACACTGATACATATGATTCCATTTGATCTCTTTTTTCTTAAATTATTATTGGTACTCATTAGTCAATGACAACATCATGTCTAGTGTCAGCGTCTTTGTAAGTGTTTCATGGCCTATTTCACTGACGAAATAACTAGATAACTATAAGACAGAATTTCAACTTTAAATTATCACTACTCACATCTAAGGCCAAAAAATCTGCAATGGTTCATAGTCCAAACAACACATAAATCACAATAACAATCACATTTCAATTTCCAATCCAATTCACAACAGAATTCACCAACCTCGCACTCCCTCTCGATGATGACACCAGTCAAATCCGACGTAGTGACAAGAAGCCGGCCATCATGAGTGAACGACGCAAGCCACTTGCCATCCCGCGACACCACCATCTTTTGCAAAGGTCCTCGGAGCATCTCGCCACCAAGGCGCTGCACGCCATCCTCCTCAACAGCTAGCACCGCAGCATCCTCCTCCTCACCACCATCACCAACTCCAAGCAAAACTTCAACATTCCCGGACACCGTATACTGTGGCTCAATAACAGCCATACAACGCGGCGGTTCAGTGATACCAGGATCAGCTAGCTTAACCGCGTTAGGGTTTTTGAAATCAGCGATGCAGAACAGCTGATTCGCTTCAGTAATACAAACGACACCGTTTCCCCAGAAAGCACAATCAGCAACGTTGCTCTCAAAACACTCTTTACCTAACGAGAGATTCGGTTCGATGATTCGAGCATGAACGTCGTAGCGGTAAACCGTACCATCCTGAACGATGCACACGAGTGTGTGGTCATCGGTCCACGACATTCCGATTAGACGACCGCCGGGGTTACGCCAGACGGTGTCGGCGAGGAGGCGGCCGGAGGAGGAAAATAGACGGAGCTTGCGGAGGGCTGATTCGCCGTGAAGCTGGACGATCTTCGAGTCATCGCGAATCACGGCGAGGGGACCGCCGAAAGGAGCGGCGGCGACCTTGTTGCGGGCGAGGTCCACGTGTTTCCAGCGCATTTGATAGAGTTCGGGCTTACGGTAATAACGGTTGTAGAGGAGCTGCCACTCCGCGGCTACGGAGACGTTTGCCATTGTGGAGAACTGGAATTTGAAACCTTTGAAAGGGAAAGCAAAACTTGTAACTTACGATCAAGGTGCACTCATGGATCTATAGTATAATTAGAATTATGAGACTATGAGAATAATTATTAGAATGAGAATTTCTTACGAGACCTTATATAGTAATATCATATGTAAAACCGAATATGACTTTAGAAATACATTTCTGAATTACATTCTTCCCTTATCAATTTAGATAAAATTTCGTTGCATCTTTATATAATATAAGAAATATAACATCGATGAAAAATTGGAGATATATTTGGAAAATTTATGTGGGAAAAATAAAAAATATTGTCACCTATAAATCGGATATATAATTTATGTTTATTCTGAGAATCCAAAAGCTTAAAACAGCAAGATCCATGGGGTATTGATCATGTTCATTTCGAAAGTGTGACCAAAATAGTCTCTAAAAAACCCTCATATTTTCAATACCATTTTTCACTCAAAATTAGCATTCTTGTGGTGCATTATATCAAAATGAGTTAAAGGAAACTGAATTTAAGGTAAAGTTTCATCTTCTCAATCTACATTAATCACATTAATCTGTTCTTTTGGTGAAAAAATGTCATGTTAATATCGGAAGTATATTTCTGATTTTCAGATGAACTTAACTGGAAATGTACTTTCGGTTCCTTAATCAGCTATTTCCAGCAACTTCATTTTCTTATTTTCCTAAGATATTTCTTAGTTTAATCTGCTTTTATATATTAGATATGGTGCATCCCGATAATTATCCCAAAGTTATTGTGTCTCAAGGAGTTTCGCCTAATGTGTCTCAAGGTGTCTCGCTTATTCTTTTCCAAGGTGTTGCTTCTATTGTGTCTCAAGGTGTTTCATCTACTATTGTTTCGTCTATTGTTATCAAGGCGGTTGATGTACGGAAGCATTTTATAAATGAACAAGAATATGAATCTCGAGATGTCATGATGCAGTGGATTCGTACGGAGGCCACCAAACAAGGCTTTGGTGTTGTGATAGGAAGGTCTGATAGTGGTTCGAATAGACGACTTGTATTTGTGATATTGATGTGCGAAAGAAGTGAGATATATAGGCGGCCTATCAATAATTTCAAAAGAGATGATACTGGTTCATGAAAATGCTAGTGTCCATTTAGGCTACGTGGGTATCGATTGGAAAATAATAATTGGAGGTTCAATGTCATAAGTGGTTTACATAATCATGATTTAAGTGCAAGGTTAGTTGGTCATCCTAGTGCATGTCGCCTCTTGGCGGAAGAGAAGGAATGTGTGTCTGACACGACACTAAATTTTGTCGCTCCAAAAAACATACTTGACATGTTGAAGCGTAAAAGACCCGATAATATTTTAAACATCAAGCAAGTTTACAATCAGCGCTACCAAGCAAAATTAGCGCTTAGAGAGGATCGAACCAAAATGCAACAACTCTTGAAGCTTTTAGATGATAACAACCACGTTTGAAGGCACCTGAGATATGAGGATGGAGTAACAGTAAGAGATATATATTTGACTCATATTAATTCCATTAAATTGTTCAATACATTTTCTATTGTGCTTATAATTGATTTGACGTACAAGATCAACAGGTACAGGTTGCCATTGTTGGAAATTATCGGTGTTATGTCAACTAAAATGACATATTCAATTGGTTTTGCATTTCTAGAGTGCAAAAAAGAGGACAATTTTGCATGGGTTTTAGAGGTTTATCGATCAATGTTAAAGGATCAAGAAAACATGCCAAAAGTCATTATTACCAACCACGATACAACACTGATGAATTCTATTGTGAAGGTGTTTTCGAGTTCTTCTACATTACTTTGTAAGTATCACATTACTAAAAATGTGAGAAGTCGGGTAAAACCAGCAGTAAGGATGGGTCAGATTGAGATTGAAAAGGGTAATCTAGTTAAGTCGAGCATTGTTGTGGAGAAAATTATGGCTGCTTGGAATGTTATCATAAATGCATCTACCAAAGATTTATATGTTGAAGTTGTTATACATTTCAGGAAGGTGTGCGATAAATATCATAATTTATTGAAATACTTTGAGTCTACAATTTTGGATCAGGTGAAGGAGAAGATTGTTTGTGCATGGACAAATCAGGTTATGCATCTTGGAAATACAACAAGAAATTGGGTTGAATCGACTCATGCATGTCTGAAGAATTGGTTGGGAAATAGCAAAGGGTGATTTATGTACGGGTTGGGAATCTGTGAACCAAATGATACTTAACCAGCATAATGAAATTCAAACATCATTTGGTCATAGTATCACAATGTTGGAACACAAGTTCAAAGACAACCTTCTTTATTCTCGGTAGGTTAGCAACATATCACGATCAGCTCTTGATTTCATTTTTTATGAAGCCAAACGAGCCTCTGACTTAGGCTCTGATACCTCTAAGTGTGGTTGCACAATTGTGAAAATATATGGTCTCCCGTGTGCTTGTGTTATATCTGAGAAGGTGAAACTTGATAGCCCGCTACGAATGGATGAAGTATGTAGTCATTGGAAGAGATTGAGTTTTGAAGACGACATTACAATGGAAGAGGGAAAGTCAAATATCATAATCTTGAGATAACAATTTCTAATAAACAATTCTATTTCACTTACTAAACTATGTTAACTCACATGTTACGTATATTTACATAACAATCCTGACTGTCAAATCACCTTTTGCAGTTATAGTAATTCATTATGTCAACCCTTCTATTATATAATTTAAAATACATCTCTAAGAGAAACGTTGTAAAAATATATAACTCAAATGTTTTCACTGCTTGCTGCCACGTATACCCATTTACACTATTCATACTTCCTATTCAGTTTTTTTTCTCCTCATTTGGAACTTTTTCATTCTTTTTATAGATACTGAAGAATGGATGACAAGCCTGTGGATTACAATGTTACCCCCGAAGGTGTGAAAAACACAAGAAAGGGGGGTTTGAATTGGGTTTTAAATCAAAAACGTTTCTTAAAAATAATTCCCTTTAACAGAAAACAGTTTTTCTTCACTCTTGATAATAAATCTAAAGATGCAAAAAAAGGAAAGAACAAGTTATGTTTATACTAGTTCACTTGAAAATTATCAAGCTAATCTAGTCCACCTGCCAAGGTGATTTCCCCTTATCAACAAGGTATTAATCCAATAATCTCATAGATTATTACAATGCACAAGCTAGCTGCAAGTGACTCACGTACAACCTATAAGATACACTAATTTTAGACTTCTCATAGATTCTAACCAATTGGTCCCTTAAGGCACAATCAAACAACAGTTTGAATAAGATTTATTTACAATAGATTTGCTTCTACACAAGCTAATAGTAAATAGTATTTCAAGAACAAATAGACTTAATAAAATAGGAATGATATGCACAGTCTTGTGAAAGAACGTGAATTAGCAGACTTTCCTTTTAGTCTTCAAGCATATTTATAGCCAATAAAATAATATATTTGTTGGAGGGTATTTCTGGAATTTTCACAAAGATGGCAGCTTGATTTACGTAGGGGAGAAGATTATACAACGCGTCTGTCCTTCATGGTAGTGGAATGAAATAATTTGTTTGTACCATGTACTGTTGTACCACATAATCTTTATCTTTTTATCTTTTTGACTTCAGAGACTTCTGATTGATCATGAGTTAGAAGAAAGAAAATAATACTTGGGTCATCAGAACTTCAAGTCTTCAGAGTATTCAGAGTCTTCAGAACTTCATCTTCAAAGTCTTCAGCACTTGGTCTTCATAACCTTTTTTCTTCATAAACACAAGTTTTCAGCATATGGACTTGTTCATCCGAACTTGTGTCTTTAGATCTTCATAACTTAGTTTCTTTGACCCCGTATCAGAGTCCAAACTTCATAACCTTCTAAAGTGATTTGCTATTGTTCACCAGAACTTGTGTAGCGCAGAAGTGGAACTTGGTCTCTTCTAATGAATTGGCAGCGCGTTTCATCAGAAGCAAAACCTGTTTGTTAAATACTAAAAATAACAAACATCAGAGTACCAAAATTGTTCATACAAACATACTCGTTGTTATCATTAAAACTCATAGATATAATTGCAGAACCAAATCTTATTCTAACAATCTCTCCCTTTTTTATGATGACAAAACTATGTATTTTGATGACACAATTTTGTACAATAATCAGAAAAAGTATTAAAAATAAGAAGGGTAAGGAATACTTATTCTTTCATATGAAACTCCCCCTGAATATAAGATTTGGTGAATATCATATATCCTGATTATGAACCATCTGGGTAAACTCCCCCTGGTTACAATATATCAGATATTGAGATCTTGAGAGTCTTAGTTCTTGATGTTAATCATGTTGTTATACCCCAAAATTTGCCCTCTCATTTTTCAAGACATTTCTCACAAAGATCTGCAAAAGCTCAAGCTTGCACCAGTATTGACTAGGTTAAGCCATCTCTTTAACACTGATACCTTAAGATTAGGGTTTGAATTTGCATAAGGACGATTGGACTTCTAATACTTCAAGTGACGTTCTTGGATCATTATGGACCTTATAGAATGCTCATGTCAAGTTTCAAGTCTTCTCATTCAATTGACCAAGAGACCAAAAATCAGTTGTACTGCCAAAAGTCAAACTTTGACTTTTTGGTCAACATTAAGTCTCAAAGATCAAAATTCATCAAGACATACAAAAATATGAAACTTGATCATCAAGAAGTTAAGAAAGTCAAAAGTCAACTTGAAAATTCAAGATTTCCAAGACTTAGAAATTTTCTAAGTGTTTTTACACATGATAATTTCACCACTTCATGCCAATTTTTCGCCATGATGCAAGATGAATCAAGGAAAACCTCCAACATAAAAGTTGTAGATCTCAATGAGATCTAAGACATTATAGAGCAGGACTTTTTCTAGAAATGTTTGGATTTTGAGTTATAAATTCATGAAGTCATGGCATTTTTGAATAAATACTTAGAGAATTTTTCAGCAGGTTTGGACAGGTTTTTGTCC